GACCGCAATGCCTTCTTCGTCCTTAAACTGAAACTCCTGGCACGTCCATAACCCCTGTGAAGTGCATTTCCCGCTCCTGTTGCTTCACCAGGAAACAATGTATGAATTGAGGGGGCCCCCAAAAAAATGGGTCAGATTTGGGAGGTTATGGGGCGTTGCGGCTTTATGCAATGGCTTATTAAAGGGTTTCTGGATCAGCTGGTGAGGTTCACTGTCTCTACTAGTCTGCAAATCAGCTCGAGCGACAGCGTCGAATCCCCGACTCCTCAACCGCTTTGCAGTCAAAGTAGGGGTTCGTAAGCGTCTAGCGTTTGCACAGATCACGCTCAGAACTTGCGGCGCAAGCCCTGGGAGCTGAAATTCTGGAATATTTGGAATAGCCAACTTGATGTCGAGTCCACAGCCGTCTTGACAGGACGACTTGTCAATAGCAACATGTTCCAACCTGTAGCTTCAAGTGTATGTTGTTGTTGCTGTGCAGATACCACTGTCGCACAGTTGTGGCTACTTGTTTGTTCTTGTGTCCATCGCTGCGATTTTCCAGGCTATTCCTGCTATTCCTGTTGAACAAAGAATGATGACAATCGTGATGACGGCGACAATTGCTGATGTTGGTGCTGGTGGTGCTAACGATGCCCATGACGACAGTGACGGTGATGTCGCCGCGGCCGGTCAGAACGAAATCAGGACCGGTGATGCTGATGGCTCGTGTGTCTTTAGGCAGTGAACATTTCTAGCTTATGTGTAGTAGACGTGGGCCAATCTGTCCAGCTTTACTGGCATTTGTCCTCTGGTGGTTTGACAACGTTGCTGGATGTTTTGCTGAGCAGGTTACGCTCGTCAGCCACAACTCCATTCACCCCCATTGTTTTGCATACCCACTTGTGGTGCTCGTGAATGCAACAAAAGCAATAGCAGAATCGACTGGTAGCGGCGGTCGTCGTAGTAGTAACAGCAGCACAGCAGCAGCAGGAAGTGAAGGAAAAAGTTGCAGCATCGTCGTCGTCCTAGCAGCAGCAGAAGTGGTGGCGGCACTTGCTGCCGTTGTCGTCGTCATCGTCATGTTTTGCGCATACTTGGTTTCCGTGCTAATCTGAACCGTTCTTTTGGTATTGGAAGGACATGTTCAGGGGCAGCAGAAGCAGCGCTCACACGGCTTTCGTCCACTGCTGATCGGCGACTAGCAAGCTGGAAGTATTTCAGTCGCCTGCAGTGTGCTTTGTATAGATGGGCCAGGCAGCTCTGTGTTCTGGGTCTGAGTATTCATGAGAAGCATCACGACCAGACGTGCCTCAACAAGACACTGGGCGCTCGGTGTCTCAATGTTACGCACGCTCCTTCATAGTGTCGAGCTCTCTTAGAAATTACAGATCTGCGCCCGAAGTTGCAGTTGTAGTGCAGCTTCAGCTTCAGCCCTGACCAGCTCGTTCACCCTTCTGCTTTACAGCCTCTATATTCCAGAACTGGTTGCAAAAGGTCCTTGCTCCCCTGCGAAATGGGAAGGTACCTCGGCCTTAGCGTCCATCGGTCGCCCCAAAGAGCTAACCTCTAATTTCCGACCCCCCGACCCTAGCGGCACTGGTCGTAGCAGTCGTAGTAGCGCTTAGAGTACCTTATTTTGGAGTCCTTATAATAAGGATCCTACTATTTAAGGTACTATACTTATAATAAGGATCCGAAGGATCCTACTATTTAAGGTACTATATTAGATGAGCCTCAGCCTGGCCCTTTTGTCCGCTTCGTTTGGGAAGCGAAGTCGCGAAAAAGGGGGCGCAAGTTCCGCTAACTGGGGTTCTTAGGCTTTGGTTTTGCGTTTCAGGATTCATGCTTTCGATTCAGGGCCTTGGGGTGTTGGGTTTGGACTTCATGCCTTCAAAAATCTTGAGGGCGTGGATAGGGCTCAGGGATTTTGAGATTTGGCGGTCGGGATTTCGTGCATCATGGGTAAAGCTTACGTAAGGCAGGATTAAGGGCCCCAACCTGATTGCCACAAAGATCTTTTCCTAACCAAAAGAGGAAGCATGACAACAGGAATAGCAACTCCAAAAGCCATAGCAAGACAACGTTGTGATCTGTTCGGAATGCACGGGTTGAGGCGGCGAATGTTCGACTCATCCCAGTTGTAACATATCCGGTTTGAACTGACATGCAACTGCAAAATCATGGCTGGCAACGCTCTACACAACCGATGTTGTCATGGTATGAGTTGAGCAGGGCGAACTTGAGCTTGTTTGTACTCCTACTACCCTGCTATCCTACTCCTACTACTACTACTGCTGCTACTACTACTACTACTACTACTACTACTACCACTCTTCCTATTCCTATTGCTACTGCTACTGCCACTCCTAATACTCTTACTACTACGACTACTACTACTACTACTACTACTACTACTACTACTACTACTACTACTACTACCACTACTACTACTACTACTACTACTGCTACTACTGCTCGTACTGCTACTCCTACTACCACTACGACTACTGCTACTGCTACCGCTGCGACTACAACTGCTACTGGCACGACGAACAGCCACTGCCACTGCCGCTACGAGCAGTAGTAGCCTACCATCACTACTACGGTTGATGATATAAATCCTGCATTACCCATAACAAGGATTGCACCATAATTCGCACAGTTTATGATCCTTAAGGTACCGCTACCACTATCATTACTGCATCACTACCACCAATAATAACATTACTTGTACCGGAAGTCGTAGTAGCACGAGCAAATGCAGCAGAAGAGGCAGATGCATCAGAAACGGCACAAGTAGCACAAGGGAGAGCTCAAGCTTCGAGGTAAGGCGAGCATGAGGGCTTGTGCGGCATGTGCACGGCAGCCCCTTCTCTAAAGTACAAGAAGCAGTGGTCGTGATCGTAGTTTGGGTTCAAAATCGTCTTCGTGGCAGTGGCAGCCGCAATAGTTCGTCGTCACCAAAGAGCAGCCGCAGCGTCGAGGAAGTCAAAGAAGTACCATCTTGCATCGTTTCCAAGATCGGCATTGCAAAACCAGCCTACACTCTATGCCTGCATACACCTATTTCTCGTGACATTACCATTCCTTTGCTTTGCATACTCCTATTTGCTATTTCTGGTCATTGATTATTCTTAGGACCACGATTACACAGTGCCTTGAACCCCGTTTCCCTGCTTCGTGCTGCCGTCCTGACACGCAGGAGCTGCTGCAAAGCCTGAAGAGGTCAGACGGTGCGGACGACGAAGGTCGAACGTCGGATTCGCATTCCAATAGCCAAGAAGGACATAAACTTCGAAACAGCGGCATCTGCAAAAGCGAAGAACTTGGAAGATCACCTAAAGCTGCGTCGTGACCTGTTTCTCGTGTGCTTGAATGAAACTCGTTTTGCACCCTTCAGCTCCAGACGCTGCTGGAAGTCGCTGCAAGAAGGGTTTGCAGGGGCTGCATGAATCCGCTTTTCCAACAGATTGTTGCCTAGGAGACGGAGTGTAGGGGCATCAGAGCTTTCGGGAACTTCAATGCAGTTGGAGCCGATTCTGGTTCAGTTTGGGTCCTCCTGGGGCTCCCCAGAGCCGAGCCCTCTGATTGAAAGAGTGTTCATTGTCGTTGTTTTGCTCTGGGTATCAGGGCAAAAACGTATGATTTGCCCATGGCCGCCCGAAGAGCTCAGAAAGCCCCTCAAGGCCCTTTAGGCCTCTCAGACGGAAGCCCCTGAGCTGCGGAGGCGAAGGCCACGAGGCCGAAGGCTTCGATCCGGCTTCCAGCTACGCGGTCTCGCACAAGGTGTTTGGAGCCCCAGTGGGGAGGGACAGCACCGCAGTGGGGGCCACAAAGAGTCACGGCAATAGAGCTACTCGCGACAGTAAGGACGACGACGGGCATGCTGTTTATGAGATTGGCCACTTTGCATCAGTCAACATTTAAAGAGTATTATGACGATGAACATGAAGACGAGGTGCTAGTTCCATTCTGCCAGGCTAACGAAGCGAACATGACTCGGGAGAACGTACTCCTTTGCATTCCCCACGCTCTGTCGAGGTCTGCATCCCGGAACATGCTGCAGGAGTCCGGTGTGGAGGGTTGAGGGCCAGAAGCTCATAAGGGCACAGACTGTAGGACTCGGAGTTCCATGGGCTCGGATGTTGAAAAGAGAGTTGAATTTGCAAACGGAGCAACGTCCTTTGAGCTCCTGGTGTCCTGGTGCGGTTCGGGATTGAGGCTTCACCTGCTGGTTCGTTGATTAAATTTGCGGTTCGTAGGAGGGTTGCAATGGCGGGAAGCTAGGTTTCCGAGGGTTTCCCCTGCTCTTGAAAGCCTGACTGTGCAACGACGAAGGCTTTACTAAGACAGAGCATACCGTGGTACCGAAGGTGTAGGTAGAGCCTGCTGCCGCCTTGCGGGTCTAGAGCAGGCCCATCCCCCGACGGCCGATCTTTGGCGACAGCTTTTTCAAGTCGAACCATTTCAAGTCCTTGGCAGATGACCCAAGAGAAACTACCATGCCACAACTACGGATCTTTGCAGGACCTTGCCCAGCGACAAACAGAACGGAGCCTCGGACGCAGCGTCGAGAGCTTGTGGCGTGGACATTCAGGGCTTCGGGTCTGGATTACACGCGCGCCTGGAAAAGGAATGAAGACAGGCACGATGCGAGTTGTAAGAACGTGTTTTTTTGTGAAGATTGTGCGTATTTTACCTTACCCTGTAACCACTTGTCACAGAACACTTTTCAGCAGCTTGATGAAACTGGATAGCTGTCGCTGTGCTTCGTTTCTCCACACTTTTATGCTCCAAGGCAGTTTGGAAATATGACAGGTTTCCTTATGAAGTGATAAGGCTAACTTTCAGCATAAGTTCGTGGGAGACTCACTCCGTGGTAAGATGCTGAAATTATCGCCACTAGGTCCTAGCCGTAGCCCCCCAAAGCATCTAGTGGGAGCTCACTTGAGTCCCTAAACACTTTGTTACTAGAAGTGGCAGCGTGATATTTTCGTTGATTGGCCCCCTGTTCTGGCATGCGTCTCTCTACCGCCCTCCACGTCGGCCTTGGTCTTACTGTGCTTTGGTGGAAGACCAAAACAACCGAGCAAGCGTTTCTTCCAGCCTTTGGCTCGCGGTGCTTTCCAGCGGTGAGTCAGCCAAAGCCGGCTTTGGGATCTGCGCGTTTTGCATGTTCCAGTTGCTTTCCCAAAACTCTGCATGGACAGATGCGGAATTTGACCTTTTCAATCAACGCTGCGAAGTTTCAAGCTGAAGTGAGGTCAGGTGGTCAGTGTGATGTGCCAGACGATCTGGGGCCTGTTCTGGCGGCTTCTGCAGATTATTCTCATACCTGTGCAGTCAAGACTGATGGTCAACTCGTGTGCTTCGGGGACAACAGAGATGGGCAGTGCGACGTGCCGGCCGATCTGGGACCAGTTTTCGCAGTCTCCGCAGGCTATCTTCACACCATTGCAGTGCGGCCCAGCGGTGAGTTGGTCTGCTTTGGATATAGCAGGCGCGGGCAGTGTGATTTTCCACCAGATCTGGGACCGTATGTGGCAGTCTCCGCGGGTTTGGAACATACTTGTGCAATCAGAGCTGATGGTCAACTTGTCTGCTTTGGGACCAACGGACGAGGGCAGTGTGAAGTGCCAGAAGACTTGGGAGCAGTGTCGGCAGTCTCAGCGGGCTATCTTCATACCTGCGCGGTGCAGAGAGATGGTCAGCTTTTCTGCTTTGGATCCAACGAAGGCGGCCGCTGCAACGCGCCAGCAGACTTGGGACCAGCTTTGGACGTCTCTGCAGGTTTGGAGCACACATGTGCAGTGAGGACAGACGGCCAGCTAGTCTGCTTCGGGTCCAACGCGCACGGGCAGTGTGATGTACCAGCAGATTTGGGGCCAGTGTTGGCAGTGTCAGCGGGTTATCTTCACACATGTGCCGTGCGGATAGACGGCGAGCTTGTTTGTTTCGGAGACAACGAAGATGGGCGTTGTGATGTGCCATCAGATCTAGGACCAGTTCTGGCCGTGTCAGCTGGCAGGTTTCACACCGTCGCAGTCAGGACGGACGGTCAGCTTGTCGCCTTCGGATCCAACGGAGATGGACAGCATGACAAGCCTGGCAGCTGGTAACATGAAAAGGCACAGCTTGTATCAGCCATGCAAGAACTCACTAAACCCTAAACCCTTAAACCCTTGTGGCATGCAAGACCTTGGTTCGGTTCGGATTTGAGGGCCGATGTTGTCTGCAAGTGTCATCGCGAGAAACCGTAGCAATGCCGACAGGTCAAGGCTTAGCATTGGATGTAGGATTGTACTGAGGGCGACCGGGTTCCCTGCCAATGAAACTTGAAAATGACACAGGTGAATCTTAAGCGCACACACTCCGATAGATCGTGAGCTTGCATGGTGTGCCAGGTAAAGAGCTCGAGTGCCCCCATGACCAATTGTTGTGAATTCAGGGCCTCTTCAGTGTTAGGCAGTTTGTCCGGGTTGCACGCTTTTCGCGTGGAGGCAAGAGAAAGCCAACCAAAAACAAACCAAAGTCAGCAAAGGAGCTGCATGAACTGGGCTGGTCTAGAGCTTCAATTTCCGGTATCTCTGCCTTGCTATATCACGTGTTGACTTGTGCTGCTGATCCTGAACGTCGCGCATGGCAGCTGACAGTCTTCGTGCATAGTTGGAAGTAATGACATCAAGTCTTGGATTTTGACTGGATGCTAGGCTCCGCTAGCAAAAAAGCTCAGCCCGAAGATGATTCTGGACTCAGGAGCAAATCTTTCCAAGTTCCTGTCACGGAGTCCTATCTCAACACGCAGAATGTGAGGACTCCCAACTCCATGCATTGGATTTTGGTCGCTTTACACAGGTTTGGGGCTCGACTCTCCAAGCCTTAACTAGCCTGATTAAGGCCACAGCATTGCGAATATCCACCTCGTGCACGTCAGCTTGGGTCTTCTGCTTTGCGGGATTGTGGCCACACACTTGAATCTTTGTCAGTGTCGTTTCCAGTTTCGCTCAATCGTGCGGAAATATGAATCCGAAGGCACGCGTGCTGCGATAGGGATGTTCGTGTGAGCTAAAGGGCTTCCTTGGATGTCAGGACTGGTATTGATGGTTCAAAGGAATGCGGGGATGATATCAACAGAGATGATTCCTCCCAAACCTCGCAAGCCTCGTGAAAAAGGGTTTAGCGACTAGTTCCGTGGTTTGGGGCTGGACTAGGTCGACCAGCCACGAAATAGGGCTGTGCAACAGAAACAGACGGTTTAACCACACAGTTCCACATCAGTACATGCGCATCAGGTCTATAGATGCATGTACGTGTGTTATACACCTACAACGCATATAGATGTGGCATGCATACCTGGATGCATGCATACATGCATACCTACATACATACAAGTGTACATACGTACGTATATTTCAAGTGAATATATTTCGTATACCTACATATGCAACACGGCTGCCAACCTACCGACGTGCCTACCTACATGCATGTGCTTGTTATTTGTAGAGAGCAGGTATATCTACTTATGAATATGCGCCAGAAAAGTTAACGAATGAAAAAAATGCACAGACATACGTACATACTCACACATGCAGCGTCACTAGCCTGTTGTCTGAATGCACAGCGCGACAACACCAAAAGCATCCAAAGGCATCACTCATGGTAATAGCCGTAGCTCAAGATTCCGAAGATTTCCTCCGTAAGGCTCGGTAGTGCTCAGGTATTCATGAGCCGGCCAAGAAGCAATAAAGCCCCTGCAGCTCGATCGAAAGTTCCGATTTCTGCGGCTTCGGGTCGAGTTCGAGATAAGCCCAGAACTCAGGAGCACGCGGCTCCTCAGCACTCTAGCGCAGAATTCAACAACGGCCTATCTCGACCGACAAAATGCAAAGGATCCCCATTCCAACAAGTAATAACAGCAGGATCGATCGCAAAAAAACTGATCGCCATCTTCATGGCTTTCGCGGGAAGCTCGACAACTTCCTGCAAAGCAGCCGCTTGGTCCCGGTCTTTTGTCAAGCCTTTCGGGAGCCTCTTTCGGCGGTCTGCCAGGGGGCTCCTTGAGCTAAGGTCTCTGCAAACACAAATAGGGCAGACGCAAGTTAGTTTAGACATGGAAAACAAACCTTTCATGGGGTTTAGTTAGTTTAAACACAGAAAAACAAACTTTCGGCAAGTTATTTTAGACATGGAAAACAAACCTTTTACAGGGTCTAGTTAGTTTAAACAAGGGAAAACAAACTTTCGGAGTACCGGGTAGGCACAAGTTAGTTTAGACATGGAAAACAAACTTTTTGTGGGGTTTAGTTGGTTTAAACACAGAAAATCAAACTTTCGGCAAGTTAGTTTAGACATGGAAAACAAGCCTTTTGCAGGGTCTAGTTAGCTTGAACACGGAAAAACAAACTTTCGGAGAGTTAGTTTAGACATGGAAAACAAGCCTTTTACAGGGTCTAGTTAGTTTAAACATAGAAAAACAAACTTTCGGCAAGTTAGTTTAGACATGGAAAACAACCCTTTTTACAGGGTCTACTTAGTTTAAACACGGAAAAACAAACTTTCGGAGTACCGGGTAGGCGCAAGTTAGTTTAGACATGGAAAACAAACCTTTCATGGGGTTTAGTTAGTTTAAACACAGAAAACAAACTTTCGGCAAGTTAGTTTAGACATGGAAAACAAACCTTTTACAGGGTCTAGTTAGTTTAAACAAGGGAAAAGAAACTTTCGGAGTACCGGGTAGGCGCAAGTTAGTTTAGACATGGAAAACAAACCTTCTATGGAGTTTAGTTAGTTTAAACACAGATAAACAAACTTTCGGCAAGTTAGTTTAGACATGGAAAACAATCCTTTTACAGGGTCTAGTTACTTTAAACACGGAAAAACAAACTTTCTGAGCACCGGGTAGGCGCAAGTTAGTTTAGACATGGAAAACAAACCTTTTATGGAGTTTAGTTAGTTTAAACACAGCAAAACAAACTTTCGGCAAGTTAGTTTAGACATGGAAAACAAGCCTTTTACAGGGTCTCGTTAGTTTAAACACGGAAAAACAAACTTTCGGAAAACTCCATCGAGTTGTTGTAATCCTTAAACCCGAAATCTTAAGCATTCTATCTCGTATGCTATCTGTATCCAAGCTTTAGTTTAATTTTCTGTTATACTTTATTTACTAGTATTTAATCTTTTTTGCTTTTAACCCCCCAAAGCCATTTCGTCTGGCTGAATTCTTCGTTTTGGATATAACGTTTTCAACTAACTTTTTGGTTATACAGTATTTACTTTGTTTTCTTCGCTTTTAAGCCCCCTGAAACGAATTCGTGCGGCGCTTCTTCTTGTAGGTAAGACAACCTCCACCTTCCGAGTTTGTTTATATCCTTTCGGAGTTTGTCTGGAGTTTGGAAAAACAAAGCTATCTGTATCCAAGCTTTAGTTTAATTTTTTGTTATACTTTATTTACTTCTTTCTTCGCTTCTAACCTTTTAAAGCGATTTCGTGTGGCCGGCCTCTGCGTTGGTGTTGGAAAAAACGTGTTTGTGTAATTTTCAGCTATACAGTTTTTAATATTTTTGCTTTTAACACCCCCAAAGCGATTTCGTATGGCTGAATTCTTCGTTTTGGGATATAACGTTTTCAACTAACTTTTGGTTATACAGTATTTACTTTGTTTTCTTCGCTTTTAAGCCCCCTGAAACGAATTCGTGCGGCGCTCCTTCTTGTAGGTAAGACAACCTCCACCTTCCGAGTTTGTTTATATCCTTTCGGAGTTTGTCTGGAGTTTGGAAAAACAAACCCCTCCCCCCAGAGTTTGCTTTTTTGGAGGAAAAACAAACTCTCCTGCCCCCCCTTCCCCCTCCCCCCCACGGAGTTTGTTTTTCCGAGGATAAACAAACCCCTCCCCCCAGAGTTTGTTTGTTGTAGGAAAAGCAAACCCCTCCCCCCAGAGTTTGTTTTTTTGCAGGAAAAGCTAGCCCCTCCCCCCAGAGTTTGCTTTTTGTAGGAAAATCAAACCCCCCTGCACCTCCGCGCCGCCCCCTAGCGTCACTTAAACAAACAAACTTCTCCCATCGGAGCTTGTTTCTCCCCGCTGAAACAAACTCCCCCCCCTAGAGTTTGTTTTTTGTAGGAAAAACAAACTCCCCTGCCCCCCCCCCTCCGGAGTTTGTTTTTACTTCTGAAAACAAACCCCTCCCCCCAGAGTTTTGTTTTTTGTAGGAAAAACAAACTCCCCTGCCCCCCCCCCCTTCGGAGTTTGTTTTTCATAGGAAAAACAAACCCCTCCCCCCAGAGTTAGTTTTTTGTAGGAAAAACAAACTCTCCTGCCCCCCCCCCTCTCGGAGTGTGTTTTTCCTAGGAAAAACAAACCCCTCCCCCCAGAGTTAGTTTTTTGTAGGAAAAACAAACTCTCCTGCCCCCCCCCTCTACGGAGTTTGTTTATCCTAGGAAAAACAAACCCCTCCCCCCACAGTTTGTTTTTTTGTAGGAAAATCAAACCCCCCTGCACCTCCGCGCCGCCCCCTGGCGTCACTTAAACAATAAAACTTCTCCCATCGGAGTTTGTTTCTCCCCACTGAAACAAACTCCCCCCCCCCCCCCTAGAGTTGAAGTGTTTTTTGTAGGAAAAACAAACTCCCCTGCCCCCCCCCCCTTCGGAGTTTGTTTTTCCTAGGAAAAACAAACCCCTCCCCCCAGAGTTAGTTTTTTGTAGGAAAAACAAATTCCTCCACCTAAAGTTAGTTTATTCTCGAAGAAACAAACCCCGGCCGAGCGAGTTAGTTAGTTTCAAACTGCCCTGCACCCCCCCCCTTCGGAGTTTGTTTTTCCTTCTGAAAACAAACCCCTCCCCCCAGAGTTTGTTTCTGTAGGAGAAACAAACTCCTCCACCCAGAGTTAGTTTCTTCTCGAAGAAACAAACCCCGGCCGAGCGAGTTAGTTAGTTTCTTCCCCCCCCCCCCCACCCCCCCCACCCCAAACCCCTACACCGAGGCATGTTAGTTAGTTTCTTTCAGAAAAACAAACTCCAGCCCGACGAGTTAGTTGGTTTGATAGTTGAAACCCTGGAAATAAACTTCCTACTAAAGTTTGGTTCTCTTAGAATAAACTAACTAGCCTCCGCCACTTGTCTGCAAACAGAAACCAAACATGAGATGGGGCTGCTACAGACATCGTTTGTCGATGCAATGGCTTCGGAGTTCAATTGGGCACATTAGGGTTTCGGAACTGCCTCATGAACTAATGACTCCAAGCATGATTGCCAAAGCTGCCAACTCGCACAGGCAAGAATCATGATTCCATGATTCATAGTGTGGTTCTGTGATTCATAGTGCAACAAATGCTAACCGCCACTTTTTTTCTAGCTCTCCGGTGGGGCTTAGAAGCTCATCCCGCGCCAGCTCAGAGTTGAAAACGTACGCAAAAGGATCCTTGTGCAGGATCTCTTCGAGATGGGTCTTCAAGTTGCTGAAACCCACAGTTCAGGCTTTTCAGAGCTTCCGATCTCTCGGGCCCCGCTGACGTTTGCATCTCAGATTTTTGCGAGTACACGGTGGCCGTCATCATTGTGGTGAACGCGGCCATGCAGCTGACCCTGCAACAGTGAAACTTTAAAAACCCACTGACCTGGTAGATTTTGGGATATGCGTTTGGGGTTTCCATAATCCTGTATGTGCTGCAGCCAGGCATCCATGAGGCAAACATCATGCCGTCGGCCTTCTCCCGCCCCTGCATGGACAAAAGCGTGTCGAAAAAACAGTGAAAGATCCTGACTGTGTGAGCAAGGCATCGTTGTGAAACCTTTTCGATGCATGGTGAAGAGGTGCTCGTAGGATACCCGGGTGGTTTCATAGCAAGCATCTCCACAAAGTCTTCCGCCGGTGCAGCTCAGGTTCGGTGTCCAAGCAGATTATGCTGTCAAACACCCCTTCAGTGATTCACCTCCGGCCTTCGACTATATCAACCTCGAGCCACAGCTGCATTTGTCACCTTCTATCCTACAGGGGGAAGTTCGATACACTGCAGGCTTTGAAAAGGGCTCGGGCTCAGGAGCTCCGTAAGCATGGCAGGCAGAACCCCCTCCCTCTCTCTCTCTCTCTCTCTCTCTCTCTGTCTCTCTCTCTCTCTCTCTCTCTCTCTCTCTCTCTCTCTCTCTCTCTCTCTCTCTCTCTCTCTCTCTCTCTCTCTCTCTCTCTCTCTCTCTCTCTCTCTCTCTCTCTCTCTCCGGCAGGCATACACCCGAAGTTTGGTGTGACCCGTCGCTGTTCTCCCACAGCCTGCCGTTTGGGATTGGTCTTCCCGGTCCAAAGTATCGAGCGTTTCGGATCCACAAACTCCAGGCCTGTTGCACATGTTTGCAACCTCTATGTACCAAAGATTGTTCAAGAGGGCTTGACGAACCTTGATGCGCAGCCCGGCTAGTCCGACTGTCCGTGTCAGGTTTAGGTTTCAGGTGTAGGATTCAGCTGATCTTAACCCAAAACCACGAGCTTGAAAGTACTAAACATTGGAGCTGTTCGCCGTCTTCTCAGTTCTTCAACGTGTTCTTCATCTCTGAGCTATCGCTTCGACTGACTGCTTACGGCCTCTCCTTTGCCACCCTGCTGCGAGTGGGTTGGTGCTGTGGGGCCAAGCTTCAGGTTCAGGGCTTCGGGGATTTCGGCCTGGGGGAATGAGAGCAAGGGGCCGTGCCCTTGCCTGTCAAGCCAAGATCCCGCAGCTCCCGAGCCCCGCATGTACTTTCACAAGCTTCGTGTCGTCCGCATGGGCCCGGTCGCAAGTGAAGAGGGGGCTGGGGGTTGTAAGGGCGGGTGGGTAGGTGACATAGGCATAGGTTTCGGAAAGGAAAGAGGGAACGTCTGACCACTTCGGACGGGGCCGAGGCGAAAAACATTCACTTCAAAAGAAGCACCATACTACAGCTTTTTACTCTGGCGATCACTGAAACAGTTGTGGGCTTGAACAGATGTAACCGGTGATCGTGGCGACAGCAAGCGTGAGCACGTTGAGTTTCTGCTGCCTTTTGCAGCGTTCGTTGTTTGAATATCAAATCAGCGGTGCATGTTCAATTCACGAGACCAGTGGGAGCCTTGCCACATGAATGTTTGTTTTGGGCTCACTCCGCAATCAAGAGCTCCCCTTGCCCACCCCACTGTGAGTGTGCGGTCCTTCTGTCTTCTCGATCTGACCCGGGATTGGCAAGTATAATAGGTGACGATCTAGGGTCTGGTCTAGGATTTGAACAGGGCTCATCAGCCTCCTCGTTGAAATTTCTTCGGGGGCGTTCTTACGCTCCAGAACCCCGAAGCACAGAACGGGTCTGACTCGCATCCGGCAGACTGGAAGTGACCCGTCTTTGTTAGAGTTGAGTGCCCTTGTGGCCTGGGGTTCAGAAGGTTTTGAACTTGCTAGGGCTGAGGGCCCCGGACTTCGAAACAGGGTCTATTGACATTCGTGCGACGGTCCCAATTCCAGAATCCCACAGACCCAAAGGGACTATCTCCAAGCTGCGGGCAGGAAGTCACCCGGCCTTTGCCCCACTCACGCTGCTCCCTGTTTTACGATGTTAGGCCTCAGGCATCCACTCATGTCCACAGCCTCATAGTGAAGTAGGGAAAGCTCTCAGGTCTCTTGCTGGAATCCCGACTTCAAGTGGCCCGGCTGTGGACACTCGAACTAGGGCGTAGCACAGGTCTCAAGGATGGCATGGTCTGGTTGTTCCGGTATAACGACGTCTTCAGGCTTCAACAGCGTATTGCTGTGCTGCCGTGAAATTTCTTGGGTCCGTTTGCGTACATCTTCGGCCCCCAAATCCTCAGTTGCAAGCCCCGTCGCAAGAGGGCTGCCTACGCACTGTGTCGCGGCAGCTCGTGAGGCTGATTGCTTGAGAGTTCACGAGTTGTGAAACCTGCAAGGGAGACTTCCAATCCATTGAAACACGTAGTTGCACGGCTCATGTTGCACATAACCCCAACAGTTGTGCAAGGTGAAAACCAGGCATGAGAGTTGCCACTCTCGTGCACAATTCCATAGGTGCATATGCATGTATGCGTGTATGTCTGTATGTCTGTCTGTGTGTGTGTGTGTGTGTGTGTGCGTGAGAGCGTGTTAGCACGGAAGAATGGATGGACGGATGGATCGATGGATGGATGCGTACACGCATGGATGCATGGATACTTTCACGTTGACGCGCATGTATGGCGCCCTGCATGGTATGTGTGGTAAGTACGCTTGTATGCACATGTAGATGTACATTTGTGCTTCTGTGTAGTGTAGCGTGATGCACTGTAGTATGCTCAGCTTTGACGTATTAACATAGAGCACGTGATGTAGTGTATGTAATTAAATGAGACCGTAATGTATCCCATGCAAGGCATGTAGTGAATGCAACGGATGAACGACTGTAGGTGTGTGCGCATGCCTGCCTGTTTGCCTGCCTCCCTGCCTACATACACACAAGACTCAGACATGGATATCCGCACACCAACTACCTAGCACTTATCTGAATGTTTGCTTGGCTGAGTCACGTGTTTGGGAACACGTAAGACGGCATCCAAAAGTTGCAGCAGTGAAAGCGGATCACCGGTGCACCAGCAGCATTTGGATGCAGCGATGTCCACAGGTGGAATATTTTGGACACTGCTTTGGTCTCGCTGTCCATTTTCGAAGAAGTCTACGGCCGGATCTTTATGGATGACGACAGCGGCAGGCACTTGGATATGCCCCTCGCTCGCATCACTTCGAAAGCCCTTTTCGGGAGTTCGGTTCAAGGACATGCCAACGTAATGCCAAAAGGTTCAAGCCCTAAACCTGTCGAGGACATCGGCGAGGGTGATGCGGCTGCTGAGGCCCGATTGGCAAGTGTCAAGCCTCAGGTTTCCGTGTGTAGCGGTGAGGGTTTCTCGTCTGTGTGTCTATCTATCTGTGACTCTGTCTATCTGTGTGTCTGCTTGTCTGTGCGGTTTGGGCGTTGGTGTGGGATATGTAAAATGTAATGACTTGTATATCTATGTCAACGTGTATATATGTGAAGGCATGTTGACATTGAGACAACCACATGCATGCCTATACTAGCATATACATATACACACATATGTCTATACCTGCGCATGACATAGATTTGGCGATTCAATACTATTGACCTCAAACTCCAAGCCATCCCGGAAGAGTCCAGCCTAGGGATGCGGAGGATGGCAAGGCGAAAAGTTGTGTTCGCCGGCAACATTTGACGCAGAACAGAGACGGAGTATTGAAAGTCGCAGCCCTGCCACCAATCCCTCTCACACTCATCCCGACATATTGCAGGCCTCGCATTATGTGGGCTGGCTTCAGGATGGGAATGGAATCGGGACTTCTCCACCATGCACCTTTGTAACACCCTAAGCTTGCTGTTTGTTACCCCGAAACCTAGCGTGGCACCTGAATCTGCACAGGCTAGTACGCGTCATCCGTGTCTTCCGTGTCCTTCGCTTCTTCAGCGACCTACGCATCATGGTCATGGGCGCCTTCACCTGTTGTAACTGCGGGTTGCTCTCCAGTGGCTATAGCAGGGATAGGGCAATCCGTGCACTAAGACCGCAAAAATAGTCCATTGTTTGTCCACGTGCCTTCAAGGACACGGTTCTCCCACCTGTGACAACCTGCAACATGTAAAAGAACCGGCTGACCAGCGTCTTTTGCGAAACTCAACATCCTCCACCCGAAACCCAAGTTCCGTTCCGACAGTGTAACCTCTAAATCTCCACAGCCTCTTATCCTCACGGATCGTCTAGAATCCAAACACCGAAGCTGACTTTTCACGGTTTCGGGGTTCAATTTCGTCTTTGGGTCCAAAGGTCTTGGAGTCTACGTTCTAGGGTGCGGACATTAGGGCTGTGCTTTAAAGACTTTTTAGCCCTTGAGATTCGGGGGCTCGGAGAACTAGAGTTTGCAAGATGGGAGTGGTGATAACTCCACTTGGTAGCGAAGCGTGCCCTTGAGGTATCATGGGCTCCTTCAAAGCTCTTTTTTGGGCACTGCTGCTTCTGTCCATCATCATCTATGTCACGGGCGCCCGAGCTGAACTCCTAAGGGTCCTAAGGCGTCCAAACCACAAACAGCAACGTGAGATATGAGATGTCGGCAGCATCCCCAAAGCTGGAACCTCCAAGTTTCACGCGATGGCAGACATCACCGGGGTTTCAGAGTCTGAGGAGGTTGGGTGACATCTATGCGATTTTTGTTACATGATGTCCTTCCGTCAGGATGCCGATAGAAATCACCGATCGCTGGGATATGCGGATTTCGTGAGCACTGAGTTCATCGGAGAGTGAACTTCGAGTTTTTTCAATTGGATTTCGCGACTTATGGTTACGTTTGCTTGTCAAGAGAGGTGTCGTCAGTTGGTCATGATTTCGAGACCAGCCGTGGCACTAGTAGTGCTATCATCGCATCCGCCGAAGTGAGTGGACCGAGAACTTAGTCGTTTTCGCTCTGCAGGTGCGTATGGAACATCGTCCAGGCTGCACAAAGGATTGGGGTTTCGAGAACGTGTATCCCCCGTACCTTATGAATCTAGAAGTCAACAAGTCGGGTCTGCAGAAAATGTAGTCAGTCCTTGTGGGTAACCGGGACTCCATTTTCCCCGACAGCTTCAAGTTGAAATGGTAGGCTCAGGGTAAGCGGCAAGATTTGCAGGACACGTGCGCTGCCAGTACTTGTTGCCGCACGAAAACAGATTGCAGCAACATTTCATGTGCAGAAACAGCAGCCGGCTTTGTCATCGCAGTTCGAGGTGGTATTCTAAGTGGTATTAGGTGCTCGTGGTGCTGGAAGTGGCGCTGGCGGCGGTACTGCTGGTGGTGGAAATCGCAGTAGTAGCAGCAGCAGCGGCAGAAGTCGCAGCAGAATAAGCAATGATGACACACTAAAAGTAGCAAGTTCAATGGTGGCACTGAGGCATTATCATCCTCCAGTTCATAGCAGACGCCGCCGCCAACGAGCTGGTCAGGAGCTAGGAGAGAGTGCACGGCATTTGTGAAGCCTTCCCCGGCATTGCATGAACCCCGTGGAGGGTTTTTGATAGTGGTTGTTACCTGCGGTTGTGCTAGTCGTCTAACCTCAGCTGACAGCCGCGGCTAGGTGAGTGAATCGGCTCAGAAGCTCAGCTAACGTGTTTTTGTCTCCTTTCGTCTTCAGTCCTTGCCTGGCCTTGCACCAGTGTGTACGTAAAAGAATGCCATACCGCCCACTGCGGCATGACTCTGAGCGCCATGCAATCGTACATAGGAGCATGGGTGCTATTGTTCGTGTGTATATTGTCTATGCAATACAAAAAGGTTTGGGCGCACACGCAGACACGGAGCCATACAAAACATACTGTATGCATATCTTCATATATGTACGTAATTTTCAGTAAATGTGAATGTATGCATATAGAAACTGCTCTTTTGCGGCGCACATGCATGAGAGCATGTAAGGCATGCATGGAAGTGTGTGTGTGTGTGTGTGGGGGCCCACCTACTTGCAGATGCATCCGTATGCTCTGGCCAGTTTGTTTGCACGCGCATATGCCCTCAGCCTTAAACTTCTCTAAGCCATGAAGCTGGAAGCCCGCAGCCCTGCAAGGTGGAGTTGGGCCCAGGGCCGGAGTTCGAGGGCAATGCGATGTTTAACTCTCTTGAGTCGGTTACCCAGAGAGCCGTTTGGAGGATTGGAGTTGATTATGATAATTGCTTAGTTTATGGTCTCCGAAATGCGGCCTTGTCGTAGCAATGTAGTCTACATTTCGCAGGTCAGAAGAGTTTAGGGAGTTTTGATGGGACTGTCGAAAGTGGAGGCAGGGGGCTTGGGTTTGAACTGGTTTAAGACAGACTGCTGAGGGCTAGCGGCTAGGATGTGCTGGTATGAAGTCCTAATGCTTCGAAGGTTTTGGGCGAAATTGCAATGTCTCGGCTTCCCAGCAATGGAAGTACGAAGAACCCGGCATCACGTCGCAGTTGCCGTTGGAAGTGCTATTCACATCTAGCTTTCAAGCCGCTGCTGCCTTGCTCGGGGCTGCTCTTGACATTCAGGGGTGGGGACATCGGGCACCGTACATCCCAGGAGCAAGGTGTGCAATAATCACCTCAGAATCTTGTGTTCGCGACTATGTTTGTCGATTACCCAACTCCTTAGCGCATATACGTGCCTCTGCTCGACAAACAAGAGTGAAGCATCTGATCATGTATTTGTCAATACCTAAAACTTGGGCAAATCAGACTCACAAATCGAATTGTCTGCTGGCTGGCATGTGGTGAAACCGCAGGGTTCTGCCAGAAGTCAGGGTGCGCCCGGACAAAAGCACGGAGAGCGCTGTATGTGTCAAGGTACGTGAGTGCATCCCACAGCACATGGATGAAAATGAAGGTGTGCATAGTTGTGCGTACCTCAAGCCTGCCGCTGCTCCACGGAAAGGCTACGTGTCAGCCATGTGGCAACGGGCCTCTACCTTATCTCTCAGCCTGGAACCGTCGAGCCCTAAAATTCCCGTGATGGGATTCCTAAACTCCGAGAAGCAATACGTACGAAGGCACATGAAATCCAAGCGCACCTCAGGCGCTGCTGCTTTACGCTGTTCCTTTGCATCTCAGGACGCCTTCAAAACGCACCGACTAAAAACTTCTTGCCCGGCAAATCAGCTTTGAGTTACCAGGGTTGTTCAGGACAGTCTGCAGTGGTGCTTGGAAGTTGAAAGGTTGTGCGACACAGCTGCATGAGCAGACTTCGCAAGAGGGCTTGCAACATGCTAGCTGCTAGCGGTTAGCGAGGTGTCTTTGTTTGGTTGTACCAGCCCACACCGTGCATCCAACATCGCCTGAGTGCCATCGCGATTTTTGTCACTCGTTACACCGTGGCGGTCCAGAAATGAACCGGGGGCAACCTGAAACAGATGCAGCGCAAGATGCTGAACTACTCGTACGAACGCATCTTCAGCTCCTGTTTGTTGAACAGGTCATGTCTGCATTCTGGCTCAGAGTTGAGAGTAAGCATGATCGCGCACTGCGCAAGTGACTTGTCAATTGCCAGACTTGTCGAGATTCGTAAACCCGCGACCTGCAGACGAATTCAATTTGTTGCACACATGATGCCAGCCCTCGAGGCCTTAAGCCCCAGATTGCGGCAGGAGGCATCAGCTGGGTGGAGGTCGCAGAACCGCTTCTTGGCAGGTTTGTTGTGATCAGAATGACCGAAGAGCTGGTCTCTGTCTCATTGCCGCTATCCTGAGCGCTTCCATGTAGCCTCGGGTTGAAGGCTGCTCGGGGGACGAAATGGTTCCGCTGTGAGGCTCACTTTTCCAGGGCCGGTCTTAGTCTGAGAGCTTGCCGCGAAGATGCCTAATCTGCTCCAGCTCGCACACCATCTGCTTGTACCGACACCGCTGGGCATCGAGAGCTATTGGCTTTCAGCCACTTCGAGTACACGGAGAGCAACAGCTCTAGTTAGAACAACACGAGAAAGATTGAACTATCCCGAGGATGTTTGTGCATCCGAGGCTGAACGAGGTCAACGGGACCATTCTTGTCCCCCTCCTGCTGGGGCCTTGGGCGTCGGGATTGCTGTCTCGGGCCCACGGAACCACTTGTTGTCCTAAGTCTAGTGGCTAGCTTTTAGGCTTTCAGCTTACTGGCTCTGGCGGCTCAGGCTGAGGTTCCTTGTTGGAAGCACATTGCGGCCTTGTAAGCGAAGCTCGATGCCCGATCTAAAACGAATCCCATATTCAGGAACACTGACGGGGCGTTTAGCGGTCCAGCAAGGATACGCCGAAACCTGAAGCCCTAAGCGCAGGTTCCGATGACAGTAAGACTGATAAATGCAGGTTCTATGCTGCGGGCAGGTACAGGGCTGTTAGGTTTAGAATTAGGGGCTCGATAAGCTGCCAGGATGTAGAAGGCCGGGAGCTTCGAGGCGTCAGGATTCGAGAGGCTCTGCGCTCTGAAGGCCATGGCTGATGGGCTAGATTTTAGGTCTTGCTTTTGGTTTTGTTTTTCAAGTGTTGCGTTGAGAAGGTATTCCTCCACCCGGATGGGTTTCTCGCATAATTACAGGTTTTGATGTCTCGCCAATGAGTCAAAGAGGATTTTTCTTGCAATCCGACGCTCTGGCTTCGTTTTGGCCGCTCTGACGTTTGATTGCTCCAGTTTTGGCCTTGACACTGCCCACTTCCGATCACCAGAAGTGTGACCTACAGTCAAGAAGTACCAGTTCTTATCGCTGGACTCAATCTGGCTTTATTATCTTTCGAAGTCAGGACGCTCTACGTGGCTTTCGCCGTGTTCTGCGTGTTGAACATAGTGCCCCGGATGGAAGCTGCATGGGATGCTTAGTTCTGAGTCCACTGCAGCCTCAACTCCTGCTACACTTGCCTAGTGATTTTGCGCCCCGAATCGGTCTTCATCCCAAGCAGCTGGAAGTCGCCAGAGAACTACAGGGTTGCTGCATCTTCCGTGTGCTGGATGCTACACTTTACTGGGTCTCGGGTCCTAGGTTGGCCAAAAAACGCCGAGACCAGCTGAGGTGACCGGAGTTTTCGTCGAGAGATCCACTTCAATGCGCGCAATGGACGAGGAAAACATGATGCACCTTAGCAGGAAATCCGACAGCAGGCGACAGATATGCGGATGGGAACAAGCACAGAGAAAGAGAAAAAACGCAACGCGGACAACCGACCTCAAACCATCCCCGGTAGAGTCGTTGATTCCCTTCCAAAGGGCCGACATCAAGCGGGATCAAAATGGACCTCGGTTGAGAACTGCAATCCTAATGTTGACATAGACTGACCTTGGGGTCGTGAGCTGTGGGCACTGTGCTAGAGCTTTGTCAGCCCTCGATTTCTAAATGCCCCTCCAAGAATTCGCAGCATCTGAGGCTCCACACACGAAGACTGAGAGTTTGGAGTCCTCCCACCACAAAGTGCAAGCGTAGCCCAGGTTTGATGAGCTGGAGAGTCGTCGCATGGCGAGAGTTGGCCTTCTTGGCGCTGGGTCGGGACTCGGGACTTGTTGCTTTCGAAGCTGTTGTTTGAGCATGCTTTTGAGTAGAGAAGGTGGATTTCCGTATGGCTTGTTTGCTGTGTAGTTGTAGTTCTGGGCGGTGTGGCTGTAAGTTGCCGGAAGCGACGATGGTCAATGGAGACAACACCGAGCATCGTGAGGGCCATTCAAGCTATGCCATTGACCATGGTGTGACCGTCATAATTGAATACGGCATAGTACAGCCCTTGCAACCCTAGACATCCAAAACCTCGCCTCTAGCAATACACTGCCCCATCCCCTACAACTTCGATCCCTGCGCCCTGATTTTTCGATTCTTCGACATGGTCGCTCGTGCCATGTCAGCCGAAGTTCCACAGGTAAGAAGTGGCTCCGCGAGATCAGGGCATTGTTCTCATCAGCAGACCAGGATGGATCCGGACAAGTCGAGCCTTGGATACAGCTTGCGATGTTAAGTTGTCGATGTGTGTCTCGAAGTGTCCTCGCATCACGTCGATTCTGAGAAGTGGTAGTGGTGGTGAGTTGCAGTGTTGAGACTGCGAGACCTCGTAAGGAAACAGCATGCAAAGAGTCACCCGTTGAAGCTCAGGAGTGGCAAGAGTTCGAAGCTGCTTTCCGGCGGCATGTAAATGCGAGTGATACGGCCTTCAGAATCGCAATCTAGCCTAAAAACCCTGCGCGTCGTCCGCCTCGGCCGAGTCGCAGGTGCAGCACACAATAAGACGACGACTGTGGTCGGCGCCGGGGGGGGGATAGAATCCCTGAGCGCTTCAACCCTAAATCGCACCGAACATACTTGCTCCCTTAGTACCTGTTTGGCTGGCTACTGTTGGGTCTTGGTGTTGCTAATCCCGTCTTGTCCCTTGGTGTACAAGTGGCAAGCTCAGCGGACTTAGCGCCTGAAGCCATGCCTGCCTTGTCGCAACGGCTGAGATGCACTCAAGGCACGAAACCCTAAACGGCAATTCATGAACACCCGCGTGCGAGCACCGAACTCACCACACATAGACCCAACATCCGAAAAGCCAGTAAAAGCCCGAAAATCAATTCTCTTACGATTTTGTTCCTTGAGTCCGAGAGTCTTTGGGCCGGAACTCCGTTACGACTCTACAGAGGAAGGAAGGTGTGAGCAGTACTTGGCGGAGGACTGCTGCCTGAATCACACGATCACATTCTGGATCTAGTCGTCCTAGATCGGCAAAAGTCAGCAGTATTTCCTCACTGGGACGTAAGCTTCGGGATGCGGTTTGTGGTCCGGTCAGGTCCGTTTGCTTCGCCTGGTCTTTGGCTTTGTCGGCTCGGCTGAATTCGCTGGTCTCGCAAGGACTCACTGCCAAGGATAGAGGCCACGTTTTGCATGCTGTAGGACCGTAGGACCCTTAACCCTACGCTCTCACAGTGCCTCTTCTGCAATCCTGATGCACCCGAACTGTTGCTTCGAGCTGAATGGGCAAGAGGTTCGATCAAGGTTGCGGGCCGATGATGAGCGTAAACCTCAGCTGGTCGCGGAAGAACAGAAGAGCTCCAAGCTCGTGGACCAATGCAGGGGGATGATGTGCCGGTCATCGGGCTTCTGCCCAATGAGGATGAGGTTCAGCTTGAGGTGACCACCGTGTTTCCCCGAGGTGCCTCCCTCTATGACTCTATGTACCTAAAGGGTGGGGGGACAATGTTGGGCTTCGCGAAAGATCAGCAGATTCACAGTAGGCCTGGACACCGTACCTGTCCGTAAACGGACAACGACCCACTCTGAAGCCCCAACCCCAAACTTGCGGCCCCCAAGCCTTCCGAGCAAGAACATCAGAAAGCTCTAGAGATGCTCAGGTTATGGCTGATTTTCATGCTCAGACAGCAATGAAGAATTTGGGCTTCGATACCTCTCGGGTGAGCCCCACCGTGCTGTGGAATCTGATCGATTACGAACCTCGGCTGCTTGGAGGGTGAGCCCCCTTGGACCCTAAACGCCGGGAACCCACTGCCCACAGTCCAAAGGACGAAATTAAAAACCCTTGTTGGCATGCAGAGGCTGCTTCTTGAAGACCCGGTCGAGGGTGTCGACGAGAGTTACTTGCTCATGAGCAGTCAAACGAGGTGGCGCTCAGCACAGCATAGGGCTTGGGGAGAGATGAGAATCCGTGACCAATGTTCAGTGCACATACCCTTTGTGAGTGCCCTACTGGTAGCTACCAGAGCACCGCTGCTCAGGACAATAGTGGCCTCATTGACATCGAGGAGCGCGGGCCTGAGCGCGTTTGCCAATTTTGGTCCAGCTGTGCTTCGTCAGGATCCCCCTCCGCTTCTAGGGGGGCCAAGTGGATTTGGGAATCTTCTCAGGGCGGGCCGCGCTTCCCTTTCGATCCGGGCCCAGGGTATCCAGAGGGTGTAAGGACATGTAGATTGTAGACATCATCAGCCTCGCGGGAAAGGAAAGCCCCATACGTGCAAGGGCATAGCCAGTGCAGGCGGAGGTTCTTCCATCCTGAAGTCCTCCCAGACAAGCCCCAAAGCTTAAGCTATAGCTTCATGTGCGGTGAACGACACTCCTGTGGAGAGAGAGAGAGAGAGAGAAAAAAAAAAGTGAGAGTGTACGGTCATGCGAAGTCGTTATCGTAGTCTTTATGGCTTTAGCCTTGCAATGACCTACACTCGATCTTCACTCCCCTTTACCCGATAACACATCGGGTGGGCATGGAGTCACGGGGGCTTTGATCGGGCCTCATGGCCGGGAGAGAGCGATATATAGAGAAATAAGGAAGTATCACTGAAACTGTGGCCAGACTGAAGATCCACGTGCCAAACCAGCACCGTTTATCCATCGAGCCGAAGAAACCAAGAATCCTTCTAGTCAAACGGTCAAACTTGTTTTAGGTGCCTTCACAACGAGTTTTCATGCTTCCTCCTGCCACCTAGGTCCCGAATGCCTCAAGCACCAAAGTCTTGCAAGCTTCTTTACAAAGCCATCTTGCAACAACCATGACAAAACTCGAAGTATCCCGAAGCCCTCATGCTGAATCAGGAAATGGAGAGCCCTGATCCTTTCAACCCCAAACCCAAAGTCCCTATGAAGCGTTCTAAGGTTCGCGGAAGCGTTGATGAAACTCCATGGCTCGGCAAATGCCATTGACATCGCTCGCCTGCGACACGACACGCCGCGTCGCTGTACGGGGCAAAGGGCTCTTTTGGGGTTCCGTTCGGTTTTGAATTTATGCGGATGGGATCCTATGGGTCTCAGGTTTGGGTTCTGAGGGGTTTAGGCCGCAAGGGAGTTCCCTCGGGTCCAAAGGAGACAACGTTATTTGTTTCAGGATGTTGGGCTGCGTGTTGCGTATTTGCTGGCCGGAGCAGCAAATCAAAGACCTTCAAGCCCACGAGCACCACTACAGTCCTTACGACAAATATTTTGGCGAAATGCTTGAACTTGATGTGTGCGGGACTTCGATGTCTCGCAAGACTCAGGGCATGTCAGCAGAAGCTTGTCATTCAGAGTTTCTGAGGATCAGTCCCCGTTAATTCGAGGGACTACGAGACCGATGGGTGTCTTCTCGCTTGGTCCTTGAGCTTCCTGAAGCTAAAGCGGCACACCAGCAAGCTCCCCAGCCAAGGGCGAAGATCCCAAAGATCTTCAGCGCTTCTCAGGTTGTCTGTGGCTGGTTCGCAAGACAGGGGCTTTGGCACATGCCGTAAGGTTTACGCACTCAACTCTGAAGCTTAGTTTTCCCCTGCGCAAGACATGCCCTAAGGTGTGCGCACTCAACGGTGAACTTTGTTTGCCCCAAAACGCTGACATGTCTACAGGCAGTCCCAACGTCCCCCACACGCTGGAACCCTGAAAGCCTGCAACCCTTGTCGTGCAGGTAGCTCTGAATCCTGAAGCCAGGAATTATATGAGATTGTCCATCGCGAGCCAGAAGTAGAATCGTCATCCGTTTGTTAGCATGGCAGCATCAAGCCGCGATATCTGCCCAGTTCGACGCCTAAGCATTCTGATTCTGGAGCTTGGGAGCTTAAAGGGCATCTGAAAGGGCTGTCGGATGGCGTGCTATTGCTTAACTCTCGGGTGTTTACCCGTTCGGGGTGAGAAGTTCACAGTAAGGGCTGCGATATCAGGCTTGTGCCAGTGAGGCATCTCGGTGTGTGCATCCCCCGACCCAAAACTGCACCCTGCGCCTTTCTGGACTTCATTTTAGATCTGTCCCGATGGAGTCTGCAACGTCGCAAAACCGTGTCACAGCGTTTCGCAGCCTGAACCCGCAGGCTGTCTGAACTCCAAGACTTAATGTCGAACGACTTGGAACGACATGGGCTGAGAGATCATTCATGTGGCCCTTGTCTACACGGTACCTTCAGGGCATGAGGACAGTGATGTTCCAAAGTTCTTGCTGTTGCAGTATCAGTGTGCCGTCAAAGCCCGTAAAGCCCTAAGCCGCCGAGCACTGCCCTAAGCCCTGGACTCCTAAACCCAGAGTCGCTGCTGGGCGCTCGAGAAAGACAACTCTAAAACCTGGACCCCCGTCGCACCCTCCAAGAAGAGACGAGCGTTTGGACATCCAAGGGGCTGCCGAGTTCGAGGCTATCCGTTTGGAAGTGCAGACCCTGAAGGACAGGGGAACTTGAACAGGGGTTTAGGGCAAAGGGGTTCAACCAGGGCCTGAAGGTTTCAGGCTTCAGGGTTTAGTGATTGTTTCGGTTATTCGTTGTTCACTTGCCATGCCCTGAGAATCCCAAGAGGGGCATTCGGCAGGGCACAGTCTTACACAAAGTCGATTGACTTCTGGGCGGGACCAAATTCACTTCGTGACTTTCCGCTGTGCTTATTGTTGTTGTCCACTGCTTCATGAGCAACCGCAATCAAGCACGAGTCTTGCGCCAAAGCCTCGGGAGAGCTCCGTCACAACGAAGCCGCGAGCTCTCAGGATGAGCTAACTCGGAAGAGGGGCTTCCGATCAAGTTTCGGCTTCAAGGCCCCATGGGCCATGGGCCGGCGTGTTCGGGGCGATGCTTCGGCCAATGGAAGTTAGCGCATCAGCCGTTGTGGGCTGGAAGCTTTATAGGTTTTGGTGTGTTGTTACAACATTCCCAGGACCCCGTGCACGTAGACGAGGCGTTCTCCAGTCCTTTTGTATTGTTACAATGACTACAGTAGTAACTGTAATACTATTGATCCACTCAGTCGGATGCCACGGTGGTAAGGGGAAGCCAACGATTGCTGATGCTGGCAGAGATTCTGAGGCACGAGCTGACAGTGCCCGGCTCGATATCTGAGTTGCTGAAACAGCAACTGTTGCCGCGGCGGCGGGCTCAGACCGTTGCATTCCGGTCTTCGGTAGCCATGACATTCGCTGGGAAGGCTCCCAAACCCAAAGCCGCCAGAACGGGGACGGAAGGCCCAAGGAGACATTCTGGAAGCATGTTCAATTGTGACGCCGGGGCCTCTTGTGCGAGGCCTGAAAGCAGTTAGCATGCCTTGTTTACCCGGGGTTGGAGTTTAGGTTATGCGTTGCCAGATCAGACCGTCATGACGTAATGGTTCTGCGACTGTTTTTTCTCTTGCAGCTCTGATGCCGATCTAACCTCTTGCTGCAGTGCGATGTGGTGCTATGCCGCTGTGCTGTCAAAACGTTGGCGGTGTCCGGTCTCAGTGCTGAGTTTCCGGGTAGGCAGGAGTTCGCCAGGGGGAGCTTTTCATGGCTCCGCGGTAAGCCAGGAGATAAATGGGGTCGTGACGGTCGTGGCAAAGTTGAGTAGACAGCTGACGTTGCTGGCATGGTCGCACGGGTTCGCGTAAATTAAATGAGGTTAGGCCAGCGGAACATGCATTAATCCCAACAGCCGAACCACCCAGCAAGAAATTGGGCTTGTAAATATGTACATGCATGCATCCAAAGATACATACGTACAGACACATTTAGTAGAAACATATAATGTACAAAAATCAATACATACATACATATATATATATATATATATACACATAGATTTTTCCTATATTTTGTTTATGTGTGTGTATGTGCATAAAAACTGTTATATACAGATGTTCCACCTATACTTATATTGCCTACACACGCTCCATATACATATAGAGGATAGATGCTGCCGCAGCTTATGTCCCAAACCTTGGCTGAGTTGCTCGAGCACGAGTGCTATGTATGTATGTATGTATGTATGTATGTATGTATGTATATGCGTATGTATGCAGGTATGTAGGAATGCAGGTATGTGGGCATGTATGTATGTGTGTATTCATGTACCTATGTATCTATGTGCGTATGTGTGTCCACTGCCGTAGACTTTGACACCCCTTATAAATATGGAGATGCGATGACCAGCTGCAAAAGAATCGGAGATCTGCCCTCGATGCCGAAGCTCAGTCGGACACCAAATTCCCATAGCCCTGTGCCGAGGATGTGCGCCGGAAGTCCCCCTACTGAGTCTTCGCTCACATGCCCTCCTCCAATTCCAGCGCTTGTCTGTGTTGGGCCACGGTCCTTGTTATTAGGCCAGGGTGGCCACTAATTCCTAGCTAGGTAGGTGGGAAGCAATTCCTGAACCTGTTGCAAAGAGCTGGTCGAGTCTGGATCTGGAGTATGGGTTCGGCAGCTTGCTACAAGTAGCCGAAACGTCGACCCAAAAGCATCAAACCGCTGAACGACTTTTAGGCCTCCGGGTGCAAGATGTGATAGAATGTCGCTCCCAAAAAGCACTAGCAAGCAGACGTTTCACCAAAGGTACCCACGTGGGGGTTGTTCCGAAGCAGCGTCTCGCTTAAAGGACGGAGTCTTTTGCGCCGTGAAAAGTGAAAGGCCCGTGTCAGAGGAACCGCCATTTCGACCAGCCCCCACGTCAAATGCGGCGGATGGGCATCCACAAAGATGCTCGTAGAGCTTCCTGTGGCCCGTCAGGTTGCTCAGGACATATAGACAACGATACGAGCTCAAAGCGGTGATTTGAGCATACCGCGGAGGACGGCAATAGGAGGAGATGGGCAGCAGACGCGGTTGTGGTCGTTGTCATTGGTTTGGTCGTTGCACACGGGTCACGCTATCAACGTCGTCCAGAATTGCACAAGGACGGGTCACAGCGGCATTTCTCACATGAATGTCGGAATACTGGCACATCGGCTCCTTCCGGCTGGCCAAGACACTTCCTATGAGTTGCAAGTGTTTGTGCTACTGGTTTGTAAGTGTGCGTGTGTGTGTGTATATATATATATATACATATATATATATATATATATATATATATATATATAATACTCACATTTTGGGGCCTAGGGCTCGGTCGGAAGCTGGGAAGGCTTAGTTTTCCCTCCAGTGCGTTTGACTGTCGAAGACATGCCGAACCGCACTTTTCTGACATTTGACAACTGAGGACTCCTTCGACCATCTTGGCAGGCTGTTAAAGCTTAACACTTAACACCGCAGGAGCCTACAAAGACTCAGCACATGTCAAACTGTGTGGCCCAGCTGTCAGAAACCACCAGACCTGCGCTTTCCAGCAACTGGTGATGCTACTCGCTTCGTTGCGCTAGATCGTGCCTTTCGGCGACAGAAAGATGCTCATCGGGCCTTTTGCCCAATGAACGACATGGTCATGAGCCCTGCCAACCCAACGGGGCAGGGCAGGTCAGTAGCTGTTAGGGGTAATGGTATGGGGATCTGTTAGGCTTTGCGGAGCTTAGGGTAAGGCTTCGGAAGGATTTCTGGCAACGGGCTCTGGCCATGTGCGTTTCGCATTAGCCTTAATCCACCAACAGCACGAAGCCGCGAAAGGATACCCCTCAGCCCGTTCCTCCGGCAGGTGCCTGTGCGGGGGAGTACGGTTGGGGAGGGCTTGCAGGACCTGCCTGGACCATCGACCCCAGGCAAGCAATTCGGGGAAATTCGTGGGGAGCAGCAAGGCGTGAGAGTTCGGTCATGAGTTGAGGTTCAATGTTGCGCGGGATTTCGGATGAGGGTTGCGTTGTGATCCAGCTGACAACATAGATGGAGGGCTAGGCGGAGTTGCCTTTCTTGCCGAGAGGCTTCTACTCCACCCTTTGTCTTGTTTTCGGAGGAGCTGTTTGTGTAGACCCTACATCACTCGTGAAGTTGCCTAGCTTCAGAAAGGGTAAAGGGTTCGGCTTTGCCAGGTAGGGCCAAAGCCCGACTGGACGGATGATTATGACTTCAAACTGCAAATTAAGACACCCTAAGCAGCCAAAAAGTCATGACCTTGTTCAGGCAATAAAACACACTGCAAGGCGATGTCAAGGAAATCAGGATCCACCAACCACTTTGGCAGCGGATGTTCTGCTCTGGGGTGCTCATCACGAGCTGACCAAGTGGCTTTTCTGTTAGATGCGAGAACCCACTTTGCAGTTGACGAAGTGCTTTGCTGCGTTCCGGACACACTGTTCGGCCAGCCCGAGGACGGCATCATTCTCTCATCTTCTGATGATGACTGGTTCGAGCGTTCTTGTAGTGGTCGTCGTCGTGTCGCAGTGTAGTAGTTGCAGCAGCATTAAAAGGAGTAGGGGTAGGAGGAGGAGGAGGAGGAGTAGGAGAGAACTAGCCGAAGCTGCAGCTGCAGCAGCAGCAGCGGCAACAGTACTGGTGGTAGTCCTCTTGGCTCGACGGTAGACACAGACGCAGCCGTGCTGAGGCATGAGTCAGCTCCTAAGTCACCAAACTTACGGTGTTTGGTTGGTCATCTTTTGCTGAACAACCTGCTGGTAAAGTTGCGGTTGGTACTTCTGATTTGCACAGCTAAAGCCCGGGACAGGTCTGATCTCATCATCCTCTCTATGACCCAGACGGCTTTCGTCTTGGATCACGAGGAGTATGTCCCATCCCCGGCCAGGAAGCTCTGTCGAGATTTCAGATCAGCATCTTGGTCCCTAGTCTAGTCGTGAACTTCTTGATGTCAAAGTACAAGTACACCTTAAAGAATACCGGTCTTATGCTATTCAAGATGTCTCGGGTCGCGGGTGCACCGTCAGAAACTTCAGCACTTCTGGCCTGCGGGGCATCGAAAGGCATGACAGAAGCGAGACACGCCACAACGGCTACAATGGCAGTCAAGCAAATGGCACCATATCCCATGAGAATCACAGCTTTTGATCGCCGCCCGCATCATACCCACCATGATCAGCATGCTGATCTTCTCCATTTCCCGGGTGTACTAGACATGTTAAGTTTGCATTCCATCAAGCGTGGGGAGACACACATGAAGCATGTCAGTAGCATTAGCAGTGCAGTGTGCAGCAATTGCAGCAGTAGTTGTAGCCGTAGTAGTAGCGGCAGTCGTAGTAGCCGTTGTGGTAGTCGTCGTCGTAGTCGTCGTAGTCGTCGTCGTCGTAGTCGTCGTCGTCGCCGGGGTAGGGGGTGGTAGTGGTGGTGGCCTGGTAGTGGTCGTGATGTGAGTAGTAGCAGTAGCAATAGCAGCAGTAGTGGTGGTAGTTGTAGGTGATCGAGACTCAAGGGGGCAGTAGTCCTACTAGTACTCGTACTCGTAGTACTACTCTTACTAGTACGAGTAGTACTGGTAGTAGTTGTTTTTGTGGAAGTAGCAGTTGCAGAGGTAGTTGTGATAGTGGTAGAAGTTGCACTCGACACAGCAGCAGAAGCAGTGAGCAGCGCATAGTACGTAGCAAGAAGCAGAAGTAACAGGTATGAGGCGCTAGAGGGCAGCAGCAGCACCTGTAGTCGCTGTTGTGGTCAGAACTATGTACCTCGAGCCGCGAAGGTCAGGTATGCAGCTCGACGTGCTATCCACCAGTACATCTATGGTTCGGCTGCGCCCCCAGTGGGAGGATCTGCGAAGAGGCGAAATGATGAATGTAGTATATTTTCAAAGCAAACGCCAAACATGAACAAAGACACAAATGACAATGCAGAGCCTATAAACGAACCGAAGTCTTTTCCACTGAAGTCCGAAAGAGTAGTCGAGCTCATTCAGCTTTCGTCCGGGTGGAGCAAGACACTGTTTTCGAAATGCAACCTGCTCAACCTACATGTTCGACGTATCTCAACATCCTGGCAAGCGCAAGACATCAGCAAACTTGCTTGCCAAATCTCAAAAAACTCAACCTTCAATCCTGGTTTGCAATTCAGTTTCACTTGCGTTTCGAGTGTACGCAGTCTTGCACACTCATGGGTTGCAGAGGCGTCGCTGAGAATTTATGTCAGAGATGTGAGTGAAACAGTGAATCAAAGCCTTTGGATGGAGGGCCGCCAGCCACAATCTCTCGAGACTCCTGCTGGCTATGGCCTGTCGATAGATGCTGGGGCTTGATGCCGACATTATGGCAGGGGCTGCAACGGCTAGCGCTGCAGATCCCGCCAAACAAAACACATCCTTAGCCCTCTGAGCGAGGTTCTGAGTAAACAACCTTTGTGTTTTTGCCTCCAGGTACACTGCGTCACGGAACCGCAGAGTGAATAAAAAAGACGAGATACGATTTGAGAATTTTCGTGGTAACCATACAGCCCCCAACACAAGACTAAACCTGAGTTGCCTTAATCCCCGCAGTTGGCTTGGCCGAGGTGGCTGCTCCCTCGAAAGCCACATCCTACGCTCCAGAGAGTTTCGATGTGGTGGGATCGCCGGGTTGTTGCGGAAAGACCAGATTCCAAGATTTGGGGTCTTGGGTCTCGGTAGAAAGTGCTGAACCTTATTCTGCTGAGCAACTAAGCTTCCCCTAGATATCCGAGGGTGCCCGCTCCTTTTTCAAAATCCAGGTATGTCTTGTGCGCGCTTTAGGTGGCCAGGTTGGAGTTGCATGTAACATCCAGGTATGTCTTCTGCGCGCTTTAGGTGGCCAGGTTGTACGTGGCTCTTTCATAGATCGGGACCTGGAGCGAGATGCCTACAAGCTAAAGCGATGCAGGTGAGACCCAAGGCCTCCGAAAAGGAAGAGGACCAGGCGCAATGCTTGTATCTGTTTTAGCTCGACTGTTCCCTTTCTTCTGTCTCCAGCATACAGGTAAGTACGCTGATTGCCCTTATCGAAGTTGCTCGTGCTGTGGTAGTTAGTACATGTTGTTGCTGCAGGTTCCGGTTGCGGTGAGCCTTTTACAAGCATTGCTTTCTTTGCCATTCTTCATGCGGGTCCTGGTTGCGATCAAGGGTTTCCTTTACTGCGTGTCGTCCATGAACACGGTGTTGAGCTTCCTGCGTTAGAAAGTTAGAATGGCTCTTCTAAATTCGGTTAGCACTGCTGGTCCAAGAGGTACCAATTCTGATGAGTACTGTGCAGCGCAATTCCTGGATGGGGTTTCATCATGGGCATGCAGCTAAACGTGGAGTGCTGACGTGCGTCTGTGTGCTTTGCTTCTCCAGCAGTGTGATGACAATGATGTTGATTCAAACACTTCGCTATAGGCAAAAAACGGTCACCACGATGCTCATGCCTTACCATCATCATCACGATCATGATTGCTATCGCCGTCATATGGCACTCGTCAAAAAGAAGAGGCCCAGCTCGACCGCGAGTTCGAGCAAGAGTTCCTGGTGAATCGCAGGCTCACGGGATTTTTTGGGGTGGGGCCCGTCGGCTGGGACCGTCGGTACTTGGGCTTTGGGTTCGGGCGGCTTGGGGTGTGAAGGCTCGTGGAAGATCTCACCCAATGGTGCAAGCAGCACGGATGTCGGGTGTTGAGCGGCATCAAGACCTGTGGCATGCAGCGGTTGGACTGGAGAGAGCTAGTCAAAGTGGCCCCGCATTTCCGGAACCTACAGTACATCCCGGCAATCGAACATGTGCAGCCTCTCCTGTATCATTTGCCGAGCCCTGCTCTCGGAGCCACTGGTGTATGCAGTGCACTCCATTCGTCAGCTAACCCTGCAAAGCACAACCAAAAACTAAGGGTTCAAGAAATGGATATGCATTCGTCCCCGCCCCTGAACCCCCTTCCCCTCATAGCCAGGGACCCTCCCAGAGCCAAGTTCCACAGAGGACCCGCGTGCGCGGGGCCAAGGAGCGCGCCATCGCACCGGGGCCGCGCTTGGATCGGCATCCCAGCGAGGAGGAGGCGGGAGGCGTCGGAGCGCCGAGCGCCTGGCAGCTCTCCGGGTTTAGGGGCTTAGGGTAAAAAGGGGAGAGCAAGCAATGTCTGCAGCAAAAAAGGGGGGAGAGGAAGCGAAGAAGAGAGTTGGGAGTTGTGAGTGGGATTTGTGTCTCGCGAGGTCCGAGGCAAGGGTGTGAGGCCGAGCTGCCGAGCTTACAAGTTTGCTCGTTGAGGACAGAGAAGCGTCGAGAGTGCCGGCAAGTCTGAGACCTCAAGGACGTAATTACGAGGCCGATGAGAGAAGATGGCTAATGCCTCGACAAAAGGGCGGCTGGTCGCTTGACGAAGCTATGAAGAGTCTGAGTTGATGCTGCTCAGGTTCTGCTCGAGGCTGGTGATTTCCCTGCTCATGATTCTCTTTTCATCGACAAGAAGGAACTTTCGCCGTCCGCCGCCTGCCTCACCAGGGACCACAGCAACTCGGGCAAGTCTCTTGCTGGGGGGCAAGACGAGCTGACAGCGAGTCTCTGGGAACCTCAGCTGAGCTGAGCGCTGAGCTGGGTCCAGCTGGAGCTGGTGCAAATTCCGTAGGCCCAAACACCTGGGACATGTTCTTCGCCCCCGCAATGGCAGAGGCACATGTGCCGTTAAGACATCACAAAATGGACATAATGCCGCCACCGGTGGACGCGCGCAAGCCCAAGGATGGGCACACGCAGATTGTGGGGTGAGCCTGCCAGCGCAGGACGTGTGGTTGCTTGCACTCGAGAACGAACTGCGGCCACGGATGTTCTGGCTGATGCTCATGATCCAGGTGCGTGGAGTGCAGTACTACAACTCTGCCGTCAACAAGCGCTCCTGAAATTGGTGTTCGCGGTCTGGTGTAGCACTAGAGGGGAGCAGATTTGATGCTAGAGACGCTTTGGTTCGGGGTGCAATAAACGAGGTTGTGTGAGCCGATGCCCGTCTGGCGTTTCGCAGGTTGTACTAGCACCGGGTCGGCGCCGGCACCTTCCAACCCTGGTGACTCATGCTCATGATGTCATAAGCAGCGGCGATGGGAAAGAGACATGTTGCATGTCTGCATGTTTGCGCAACGCATGTGCCAAGTTGCGTGCGGCAAGCCTCACTGCAACGCCGTCAAAACGCATGAGCCCGGGCTGCTTGCACCCTATATGCCGTCCAGCGGAGAAGCTCAAACTGATTCCGGAGGGTGACTGGGCCGGCATACGTGACAAGCCTTTACGTGATGGGATGGGTGGGTTCGGAGAACGAAAGATTTGGAGACCTATCTCGTAAGCAGGGTCCGTGTTTGGTCCCTTGAAGCTTTAGTCGAGCAGGTTGCCGCCTACCGGAAGGAGATGGAGAAGCGGACCGGCGACAGTCCAGGCGACGGAACGGGCCAGTTCCGGTGCCAGTCTCAATGCTGATGGTAACATTGATAAGTATTGTAAGTCGGAATCATGACTCTTAACGTGAAGCCATCGCTACACTGCGTGCCAACAGTGCACCTGCTCGTCAGGTGGAAAAGCAGACGAGGAGCGCACATGCCAAGTAGGGGGGTGGGACAGGGACATGCTTTCGGGCCAGGGCAGCCCTCAGCCGTCTAAAGCTGGTCGGGTTGGGGATGGACAGATTTGAACGTCATCCAAAAAGAAGCCATTCTATGTAGCCAGGTGCGTCGAGTCTACCCTCAAGCGGCAGCAACAGCAATATGAACAGCAGCCACGGAAGCACATTCCGACAATGAAAGCAACAGAGTAATGCTGTGTATAATTATGATCGCATTGTATTGGCATGTCAATACCGTGTTAGACATCGTAGCAGCCATTTTGTCCCCGGGAGAGCAAGAAGGCAAGACCAAAATAGATTGCCAGAGTCGGATTCCGAAATCCACAGGACGGCAACCGGCCGAGGAGGCGAAAGAGCGGTGGCGTGGCAACTCCAAAGGCGGCGGAGAAAGAGAAAACCCAGGCCTCCTGGATTTGGGCTTTAGGGGTCGGCTGGGGAGAAGCCGCGGAAGAATGGCTTGGCAACCGACTGGATTCAGAGTTTGAGTTGCAGGCCGAGGCCGGAAGAGTCTCGAGCCAAGAAGGTATGTCAGGAAGGTCGGAGTCTCGGCTTCGGCGGCTAGGCTTTCCAGGCCCTGGCGTAGGCTTTTCCACATCGCAATGTGGGAAGGGCGGGGCAGCAGTGAACAGCAAGAACAAGAGAAACCACAACAAACAACACCAGTACGACAAGTTTGGAGTTCTTGTTTCTGCAGCCAAGGTTTGTCGCCGAGATCTAGGAAGGCTTTGCGGTTTACGGCTTGTGGGGAAATACAGGCTACCGGGCCGACGGCTCCGATTTATTTGACAGTTGGTCCCTATGTAGTGTTCCGCCTCTGCACGGCACAATCGGAACGAACTTCCCGAGTTCTCCGAACTGCGACCCTTCCTCCCCTAGCCATGTATCTCGCCCTGCCTGTCAGGTCTCCACCCCTACCGGGAAGAACAGCCCCGCGGATCTTCTGGGAAACAGCCTTGGCTTCAGATCCAGTCCACGTGATCACGGGACTTCAGATTGAAAGGACGCTCACATGAACATGCTTGGAATCCATGCCGAGGTGCTGCAATACTGATCCAGCATAGGGTTCTCGCGCAGACCCAAGGTTCTCCCCAGGGTGAAGCCGCAGAGAAGATCCTTTACAAGCGCGTGCTAGTCGGCCACCGCCTCGGCCATTGGAGTGCTTTCGGGGTGTCAATATCTGCCTCAGCCTGACGACTTTTGGTTATAGTGGGACCCAAAGAGTTCGCTTGACTGCAGCATCGCAAGACATGGCCTCGAGCAGCACACAGCACATGCGAGAGCAGAGGGCAGCTGCAGCAACGGCTTGCTTCAACCAAACTTGTCCACTCAAGGTGAACCTATGCCCATAATCATGGAGGCAGCAGGGGGGTGACTACGGTCACGATCCTGCTGGAAGATAGTACCGAATAGTCAGCGTGTGGACGCCAGCCGCCACCGAAACACACAAATATGACAGTATCTGCAGCCATTCCAGCAACGATAGCCATCATTGCCAAGATAGCAACTATCCCCAAACCCCAACATGACAGAAAATAACTCACACCAACTATTGTGACCTGTCACCATCAAAACAGAATGACACGGTTCGTTCGGGTTGTGGCATCTGCAATATCCTGCAGCAAGCATCTCTGGCAATGTAACTCCCGTCGGCGCTTATTGTGACGCTGGCATCGTTGTCGGAGTGCTTCAACAACTGCAAAGTGGTAGCAGTAGCATAGCAGTAGCAGCAGCAGCAGCAGCAGTAGCAGAGCAGTAGCAGAGCAGTAGCAGCAGTAGCAGCAGCAGTAGCAGCAGCAGTAGTAGCAGCAGTAGCAGTAGTAGCAGTAGCACCGGTGCAATGCACTGCCCATCTTGGTCCCCAAGTCGTCAATTGGTGCAAGTTAAGGCGATTTGCAAGACAGGCTACAGCAACCACATACAACCCCTAACAGCAAAACGGCTGATTGCATTGGCAGCTCGCGGCCGATGCACATAGATACCTTTGCCTATGCAGGTCAGCTCGTTCTCGTCTTTTTCCGTCATCGACGGAACGCTTAAGAAGGTTCCTTCAACTTGAAACACGTAGATCACCTTTCGAAAACCCTCAACTTCGTCGGGTTCACACTTGAGGGAAGATCGAGGAGCCCCGGAGTCGCAAATTCCTCGCAGGTGACCAAGAAGAAAACGTGAAGAAGGCACGGCCTCCCAGACACAAGGGTTTGAGGAGACAGGCAAGGTGTTGAGTACGGCTGCAGTTGGACGGGGCATGCTACAGTCCAGCTAGGATTAAAACAGGAAGCATCATCGTGGCGTGGGCTTTGCGGGGCGTAGTGGCACTGCCGGCAAGCCCGGTCCGGTACCCAAAGTCCCAGTAGCGTGAAGCTTCCTTCATGTGCCCGGACTGCGAGCCTCTTGAGACTTCAAGACTTGTCCCAACTTTCTCAGCGCAAGCTGCGCCAGACTAAACCTGAAACTCTGCGGCCTTCCGACTATCAGTGCAACGACTGGCCTACATCGTGCATCTGCTCTACTCTACACCTACTGCACGGTACTGTACCGTACCCTACTACTACCACTACCACTACCACTACCACTACCACTACCACTACCACTACTACTACTACTACTACTACTACTACTACTACTACTACTACTACTACTACTACTACTACTATTACCACAACTACTACTACTACTTCGACTTCTACTTCCACTACTACGTCTACGCCTACGACACGTCTACTACCACTACCACTACCATCACTACTGCTACTCCTCCTCCTGCTGCTTCTACTCTACTACTACTACTACTTCTCTTCCGGGATAGGGGTTAAAAAAAATTAAATAAGAATCAAAAAAATTAAATAAGGATCAAAAAAAATTAAACGGGTATCAGCGAAAGGAAGGGGAAAAAGGAAGGAAAGAAAGACAGAGAGAGAGAGAAGGAAAGAAAGAAAGAAATAACGAACTAAAGAAAGAAAGAAAGGAAGGAAGAAAGACAGAACGAAAGAAAGAACGAAATAAAGAAATAAAGAAACAACAAAAGAAAGAAATAAAGAAAGAACAAAAGAAAGAAAGAAAGAAAGCCATGCAAGAAAGAACGAGAGAGAGAACGAAAGAACGAAAGCAAAAACGAAAGAAAGAACGAAAACAATAACGAAAGAAAGAACGAACCAAAGAAAGAACGAAATAAATCAAGCCAGAAAGAAAGCATGAAAGAAAGGAAGGGAGTATGAGATGAACAAAGAAAGAACAACAGAAAGAAAGAAAAGAAATGAACGAGCGAAAGACAGAAAGAAGTCCATACTAAAAAAGCAAAGTTGGAAAAGACGAAAGAGAAAGAATATGAAAGAATCACAGAAACAAAGATACAAGCAACAGGATACTACATAGTCCAATCGAATTTACCATAATATCGTAATGTACCGTAACATAATATGTCATAATGTAACCTAATGTTATAAAATATACTACATATTATGTTGTAAATATACACACTGTATTGTACTATGTTACAATGTACTACACTATAAACTAAGATGTTGTTTTGTTCTATGTCATCTTCTGTTATATTGCATTGTTGTATTTTTAGTATGCTATTATATGCTATAAGAAGCAAGGTTCTGTTATGTCAGAAAATGTCACACCATTTTTGTGTTGTCGAACCATCTTATGTCGTTCTTCTGGTTTACTATGTTATATATATTAGGTTAGAATGCTAACGGAAGAAGAGACACGAACAGGCGCGGAAGAACAAAACACCCGCCGCCGCGCTTTTCGAGACGTGCAAGCTTGATTCAAAGAGTGTTTTCGAAGCCCATCATGTGAACGTTGTCTCTGCAAATGGGGGGGGCTGCGCCCCCCCCAACCCCCCCGCTGTTTTAAGCCGTGCAGGGTTGCTTTGAAGCATATGCTTTTTTTTGAAACCCAGCAAATGAGGGCGTCTCCGCCCTTGTAGATACATGCTGAACCAGAATCGCCAAATGAGGGGCGTGTTTAAGATAGATGATGAAGCGGAATACCAGCAACAGCTACAACAGGAAATCCGTCCTAAATGTGAAATTGGAAGGAAAATTTGATTTTCCCGAGGAACAACCATATGTTGTCCTTCTGAAAACCTGAAGAAATGACACGAACGCCATAGGTAATAGGAAAATAGGGTTTTCCTACGAAAAATCAAGGAAAACGTAGGCAAATTGCTGTATCTAAAGAGGACGAAAGAAAGGACAACAGAAAGAAAGAAAGATAGAACGAGAGAGAGAACGAAAGAACGAAAGCGAAAACGAAAGAAAGAACGAACGCAAGAACGAAAGAAAGAACGAACCAAAGAAGAACGAAATAAATCAAACCAGAAAGAAAGCAAGAAAGAAAGGAATGGAGTATGAGATGAACAAAGAAAGAACAACAGAAAGAAAGAAAATAAATGAACGAGCGAAAAAAGAAAGTCCAGAATAAAAAAGCAAAGTTGGAGAAGACGAAAGAGAAAGAATATGAAATAATCGCAGAAACAAAGATACAAGCAACAGGATACTACATAGTCCAATCGAATTTACCATAATATCGTAATGTACCGTAACATAATATGTCATAATGTAACCTAATGTTATAAAATATACTACATATTATGTTGTAAATATACACACTGTATTGTACTATGTTACAATGTACTACACTATAAACTAAGATGTTGTTTTGTTCTATGTCATCTTCTGTTATATTGTATTGTTGTATTTTTAGTATGCTATTATATGCTATAAGAAGCAAGGTTCTGTTATGTCAGAAAATGTCACACCATTTTTGTGTTGTCGAACCATCTTATGTCGTTCTTCTGGTTTACTATGTTATATATATTAGGTTAGAATGCTAACGGAAGAAGAGACACGAACAGGCACGGAAGAACAAAACACCCGCCGCCGCGCTTTTCGAAACGTGCAAGCTTGATTCAAAGAGTGTTTTCGAAGCCCATCATGTGAACGTTGTCTCTGCAAATGGGGGGGGCTGCGCCCCCCCCAATCCCCCCGCTGTTTTAAGCCGTGCAGGGTTGCTTTGAAGCATATGCCTTTTTTTGAACCCCAGCAAATGAGGGTGTCTCCGCCCTTGTAGATACATGCTGAACCAGAATCGCCAAATGAGAGGCGTGTTTAAGATAGATGATGAAGCGGAATACCAGCAACAGCTACAACAGGAAATCCGTCCTAAATGTGGAATTGGAAGGAAAATTTGATTTTCCCGAGGAACAACCATATGTTGTCCTTCTGAAAACCTGAAGAAATGACACGAACGCCATAGGTAATAGGAAATAGGTTTTTCCTACGAAAAATCAAGGAAAACTTAGGGAAATACAACGGAATCCGCAGGAATATCGTGTTTTCCAGAGCAAAAACCAGACAGATCCTAAGGAAACACAAGAAAATCCGTAGGAAAACAGTGTTTTCCATTGGAAAAATTCAGGAATTGCTGTATTTTAAGTGATTTAATTTTTTTTGATCCTTATTTTATTTTTTTTTGATGCCCCTGCCCCAGGAATTGCTGTATTTTGCGTGATTTAATTTTTTTTGATCCTTATTTTAATTTTTTTTGGATCTTTCCTTTTAATTTTTTTTTGATCCTTATTTAATTTTTTTTTGATCCCTCACCCCATTCTCTTCCTCTACTACTACACAAAAACTACAAATAATACTACTACTACTACTACCACCACCACCACGAGTACTACTACTACCACTACTACTACATCTACTACTACTACTCCTCCTCCTGCTGCTGCTTCTACTCTACTACTACTACTACTACCACTACTACTACCACTACTACTACTACTACTACTACTACTACTTCTTCTTCCTCCACTGCTACACAAAAACTGCAAATTCTACTTCTACTACTACTACTACCACCACTAGTACTTCTACCGCTACTACTACCACTACTACTACTGCTACTACTGCTGCTACTACTACTACTACTATCAGCACTACCACTACGACTACCACTACCACTACTGCTACCGCGACCACT